CTATTAGCTTACTCTGCTACCTACACTAATAAAAGAGAAGTATGCAAATTGACTGTACATTCAATGTCTACCAGCCAATCAGGAGTGTGTATGCAAATTAACCTAACAAAGCCGACATGCTAATTTGCATACAAGGAGCAGCTGGAGACAGGATGCCTGTGTCATCACGCCCCAGCCGCTCCGGGCCTCTGGGCAGCATGGGAAAGCAGAATGGCTGCTCCAGGCGGGAGTAAGGCAGTGCTGGCAGCCAGGGGAAGGAAGGCCCATTCTTGCACCAATCTTCGTGCATCAGGCCTCTGTATGATTAGATTAGCACTCCTGTGTGTGGTTTTGTTTACCTACAATTTGATATTGATAAATACTTTGGAACACTATACATAGTATATTTCTATCCAAAGCATGTTACCAATTACAAAGATAAACTAAGTGTATACTTGCTCTGACTCTGTTAAATATTCCTTAGACCAATGGAATTACTGTCCCTTTTTTCATGCCACTTTTATTCATTCTGTGTGGAAGACCATGTTCCAGTCTTAATACAGAATATTTATTTTAGAATAATTAAGGTACAAATGAAGACTGAAGACTTTTTAAAAAATACATGTATTTTACTAATTTTTTACAGAGAGGAACGGGAGGGAGAGAAAGTTAGAAACATCGATGAGAGAGAAACATTGATCAGCTGCCCTCTGCACACCCCCTACTGGGGATGTGCCCACAACCAAGATACATGCCCTTGACCATAATCGAACCCGAGACCCTTCAGTCCGCAGGCTGACACTCTATCCAGTGAGCCAAACTGGTTTTGGCAGGACTGAAGACTTTTTAATGATTATCTTTTTTATTGATAGAACTAAAGTAAAACAGTGTGGTCCATTAGCGGTTAGGGAGGTACTTTGTGGAACCTCATTCTTTAGCTTCCAGATCCTGAAGAAAAGTGGTTAGATACCTTGCTCATTCTGTTTTCCTTGTTTATGGTACATTTTATCCTTTCTGTCATTCTGTATATAAGATAGCTCAGTGGTTTCTAACTAGTTTGAAAGTACTTATCCATTTCATAATTAGTAATTTGACAATTTCGAGGTCTATGGTTGAGAAAGTAAACTAAAAACACTTTACAGACTTTGGGTAGTGGGTGAAACTTTTTTCCAAATGAATATGGAACCCAATACAAAAGACATAATATAGTATTTTATTAGGATTTATTTAAAAGTTTTTATTGATTTCAGGGAGAGAGGAAGGAAGAGTGGGAGGAGAAAGGGAGAAACAAGATGTGAGAGACATCAATTGGCTACCTCCTGCACTCCCTACTGGGCATTGGTTATGTGCCCTATAAGGGAATCCAACAGTGATGCTTTGGTGCATGGGAGGATGCTCAACCAATGGAACCGCACTGGCCAGAGCAGTATTTATTTTTATAAGCTAAAATTTTTTTTATAAAATCAACCAAAAACAGTAAAGCTTTTAGAAGAATTTAAATTTGAAGTAGGGTTTGTTTTATTTTGTTTTCTTAATTCTGTTTTGGCTGCTTAGTCATGAAATTTTGACTTGTAGATACGTACAGCTCCTCTTTCAGACTCTGTATATACTTTAGTTGTACCAGAGCTATAAAAGTATTTCTAGTATAGACATTTTGTTTGAAAGACACCATTACTTAATTATATCTTAATTATCTTTACTTCATATCACAAATGCAAAAGTAACCAGCCCTTCAAACTTAAGCAACAAAACCTAATATTGTTTCATGTTAGCTCTTTAATTTGGAACTAGCCACTTGGCTATTCCCCTAGGAGAGGAGAGCATGCAGCAAGTTAATTTGTGAGTCTTCTTGGAAGGTGTTTAATTGGGAAAAGCATAAGGTATGTGACTGCAGACTAATTTTATGAATAGATATGTATAGACCTAAATTAGGGTTGGGAAACGGGAGTGCAGAGTTGCAACTTTACTAATCAGTGTCTTCATAGGAATTGGACATACTTATATTTTAATTTTTGTGTGTGACAAGAATAAATTATATTTGATTTCAAATTATGCGCCCATATCCTCTTCTCTGATCTCATCTCTTCTATAAAGTTAGGCATTTTAGAAGCCTAGAAATCATTTCAGAGCAGTGGGGAAAAGAAGGATCCAAAGTTGCCCAGAAAAAATAGACAGCATTAATGAATTTCCTCACAGCTGAAAAGAAGACTACAAATAAAGATGTCCCTCTTCATGTGACCTCAGAATGAATTTTAAATTCAACAATTAACCTCAGAATAAAACAAAAATATTCCAGGTCACAAGCATACTCTTAACATTCCAGAGACAGTTAAGCTTTCCTTCCTATTATATATACCAGGGGTAGGGAACCTTATTTCTGCCAAGGGATATTTATAACACCATTCGAGGACCATACAAAATTATCAACTTAAAAATTAGTCTGCTATATTTGGTCAAATATTTAATTAACTCACCCCTAATGCCTTGGTAGGGCCAGATAAGTTGATTATGTGGCCCTTGGGCCGGACGTTCCCTACTCCTGATATATACTCTGGATCAGTGTTACCTGAACATTTGCCCTTAAGGACTTTTTTAGTTTATTAAATATTAGGAATATGAATTATATATCAATAAAACTGTTTAAAAAATTACTGAAGAATCCAAAGCTTTTATTTTTTGTTAATCCTCTCCTGAGGATATTTTTCCCATTGATTTTTTTTTTTTTTTTTTTTTTTAGAGAGAGAGAATGGAAAGAAAGGGTTGGGGAGAGAGAAACATTGATTGATGGCCTCCTCCATGTGCCCCAATTGGACTAGGGATCAAACCTGCAACACAGATACATGATCTTGACCGGTAATAGGGCCTTCCACCCTTTGGTATGCAGTCTCCATCCACTGAACCACACCAGACAGAGCCTAAAGAGTATTTTTTAAAATGTAAAATAACTTTCCCAGTTAAAGAAATAGAAGTGACATTGTTTTATTTTTAATGTCTGGCTTAACAGCTAGGTCTTATCCGTGCCTCTTGCAATAAATTAGTTTGGTTGAACTATGTGATGAAAATCTAGTCTCATACAGATACTCAGTGGGAAAGGAATGGCTATTTTTAAAATTTTTTTATTTATTTCAGAAAGGAAGGGAGAGATCGAAACATCAATGATGAGAGAGAATTATTGATTGGCTGCCTCCTGCAGGCTCCTGCTGGGGATTGAGCCCCCAACCCAGGAATGTACCCTGCCTGGTAATTGAACTTTGACCTCCTGGATCATAGATCAATGCTCAACCACTGAGCCACACAGGCCAGGATAAGACATTTTTTGTAACTGAAGCATGGTACAAGAATGTTTTTGCTAGTTCTTGGGGTGCATTTATTTTTAGACACAAATCATTAAACTTAATAAATAGGTTCAAATTTAGTTTAATTATTAGGTGTGAGCAAATAAGGTTGAAATGGAATTAGTAAATGTTTTTACTTTTAGAAAAATGTGTGCTGGAATAATTATGGTTGAAGTATGTTTGCAAATGATTGAGAAAAACAAATTATATATAGCCAGTATCAGATTGAGATACATTTTTTGTGTCTGAAATTTTCTGTAATAAAAACTTGGGGTAGGGAAGCATACCCATTAATATAATACAATTTTTATAATTTATTGATACTAAATTGCAAGTTGCTATAGATAGCTTTTGATGAGTTTAGTCTGAAAACATTCTTTCCATTGACTGTTCTGAAATTTGAAGCTACTTGAGCGCAGTTTTCCTGTTGGGAAGATATTTTTTTAAAAAGTGACTTGCTTTTAAAATGAAGGAGAAATTGTTTTATATTTCTTAAGATGTAAAATTCTGAGTATTTAAAATTACTCAAATAAGCCGAAACCAGTTTGGCTCAGTGGATAGAGCCTGTGGACTGAAAGGTCACAGGTTTGATTCCGGTCAAGGGCATGTACCTTGGTTGTGGGCACATCCCCAGTAGGGGGTGTGCAAGAGGCAGCTGAACCATGATTCTCTCTCATCAATGTTTCTAGCTCTCTATCACTCTCTCTTCCTCTCTGTAAAAAATCAATAAAATATATTAAAAAAATAAAATTACTCAAATAAAATTTTTGGTAAATAAAAAGGTTAGTGATATGTCATACTTTGTTTAGTAAATAAAAAATAAAGGGGATTGATGGACATTGTCAATTTTTTAGATTAGATTAAAAGACATTTTATTTGGACTTGGGATAAAATCAGAGAAATTTATTACACCCAGTTTTTTCTCTTCTGCTTTTTTATGTAGAAGGGAAAATAACAGACAAATTTCCCAACCTATTTGAGATGGAAAGAGGTAGGATGTGACGGCAGTTATATTCTTACATTAATAGGTCATCAAGTGATTTGCAAAATTGTAAAAATAATCTTTTTTTAAAAAAAAAATTTATTTTATTGATTTTTCACAGAGAGGAAGAGAGAGATAGAGAGCTAGAAACATCGATGAGAGAGAATTATCGATCAGCTGCCTCCTGCACACCCCCCACTGGGGATGTGCCCGCAACCAAGGCACATACCTTGTCCGGAATTGAACCCATGACCTTTCAGTCCACAGGCCGATGCTCTATCCACCGAGCCAAACCAGTCCCGGCAAAAAATAATCTTTTGATTCTGGAAACTATTCCTCCATTTTGCTTAGAACTATGGAACGGATACAAAGTGGTGACCTGTATGCATATATATGTGTGTGTGTTTGGTTTGTTTTTTATAGGGTATAGTATTGGGGAGTTCATGGCTGCCAAAAATTGCTTAACTTATCGCATATCTGGTTTTGCGGTACTAGCATTTTTTTTTTTTTTTTACTTTGATTTGTACTTTATTGCCAACTACATAATTTGAAGGAAATTATTTGTTACTTTCTAATGGAAAATACTGGTAGTATGCCTTGTTTGGGGCAGAATATCAAATGTTAACCTTAATTAAATATTTATAAGATCATATTCATGTTAGTGAATTTTTAGGAATAACACAGCCTTTTTTCTTCTTTTGTAGCATAAGCAGTACTATAATGGATGTAGACAGCACAATTTCCAGTGGGCGTTCAACTCCAGCAATGATGAATGGACAAGGAAGCACTACTTCTTCAAGCAAAAATATTGCCTATAATTGTTGTTGGGACCAGTGCCAGGCTTGCTTCAACTCTAGTCCAGATCTGGCAGATCACATCCGTTCCATACATGTAGATGGTCAGCGAGGAGGGGTTTGTTTTGTCATTTCTTTTTTTTCTCACTGTATTCATTAGTTTTATTAATTTATAATGGATAGTTAGGCTTTTTTCCCCTCCAAAGTAAAGGCTTTATTTTTATCAAATGTTTTTTTTCCACCTTTTATTTGCAAATTTCCACTTGATTCAATCAAATTAAATAGAACATATCATGTGCTCTTTAATTTGCTCTTAGGTATATTAGACTATAAAGTATATAGTTGGAATATTACAAATGAGTATAGTACATTCCAAAATTCTGATGTTTTCAGTTGAAGACATTTAGAATTGGCACTGTTAGGGTGGTTCTAAATTATCTGTGAGGCTGAAATTAACTGGAAAGACCATTGATATCAGGATTAGTGTATAAGTCCTATTAAATGAAAATCTGCAATTACTATTTGTGAGTGAAAACTAATCATGTTTCCCAGGTCTTATCAGAGCTGAGTTAGATAAAAAGTTCTGATTAGTCAGCTCTTGACTGGAATCCTTTCCAGGCCTAAGCTCTACCCACTGAACCAAACTGACTAGGGCAGTTCTGATAGTTTTATTGGATAGTAAATAAAGGGCTGAACTAATTAGGTGAGTCAAAGTGGAATGGAGCAAAATATTTAGAATATTTTTTCTACTATTTATACTATTTTCAGGTTTATCTAGGTTTGTCTTAAATAATTGCCATATTTAAAACATTTTTTAAAATTAATGTTACATTGTAAATACAGATAGTTTATTAGGCCACACATTCTCCATCACCCTGCCATCACTGTTGAGATATACTAAAATGGTTAAAATCATTACAGTTAAGTGAGTATGCAGCTGTTTCCAGGGTTGTATTGATAATGAGGTTCTATTATTGATCTTTTACCAAAAAACATATAATCATATAAGCACCCCTAACATATTTACCCGTGGTATTACATTTAAAACTTCTTTTAAGAAGTATTTGCTGTTGTCACAATATGCTGTAATGTGTTAGCAGTCTTTTGAATATTCAACTTGATAAGTAAACATTTGTCTTATTATTAGATTTAATATATATTGTGTCTGGGTAGATACCAGAAGGTATATTAATAAACTGTGTTCATCCTATGGTTTTTCACTCTTTAACCATCTCAGTGGTTAGGCAACTTTGGTAACAGGTTTCTCCACACCACACCTGCCCCTTCCCAATCAGGTTTTTGGTGAGAATTCTTTAAAAAAATTTTATTTATATATATATATATATATATATATATATATATATATATATATATATATATATATATAAAGATTTTATATAATAACTATATATATATATATATAGTTATTGATTTCAGGTAAGAAAGGAGGGAGCTGGAGAGATAGGGAGAGAGAGATCATTGATGAGAGAAAATCTTTGATTGACCTCCTCTTGCAAGCCCTGAACTTGGAATCAAGCCCACAACCCGGGCATGTGCCCTGACCAGGAATCAAACCATGATATGGTTCATAGGTTGACGCTCAACCACGCTGGCCAGGCTGAGAATTTTCTTAACCAAGTTGATTTCCTACTCATTACTAAGTTGCCTTTTGTGACTTAGTGCTAGATGTCACTTGGTATATATCACTACAGTAGTCTTTTGAGTGATGGCATGATGCTTTTTAGTAATTTGACTTAGCAGCTATGTAAAGGATTCCGAGCCATGTAGAAGATCCCTGGTTTCTCTTAGTAAATGTGGAAGAATTTCACATTTCTAAGTTTTGGATTCTACAAGTTGAGTTGGCACACAGCCTTATGAGAATTGTTTTCAGCTGTTTACAGATTTGTAGAAAAAATGTGACTTATAGATGGAATGTATCATGTAGTCATTGCAATTACATGCACCTTATTTATTTTTTAATGTATATATCTTTATTAATTTCAGAAAGGGAGAGGGAAAGAGAGATAGAAACTTGAATGATGAGAGAGAATCATTAATTGGCTGCTTCTTGCATGCCCCTTCCTGGGGATTGAGCTCACAACATGGACATGTGCCCTTAGGGGGAATCAAACCTGGGACCCTTCATTCTGCAGGCTGATGCTTTATCCACTGAGCCAAACCAGCTAGGGATACATGCACCTTATTGATATTATAGACTTAGAAATGAAGTCTTATTAATTTCTATAATAAGTATAAGTTTGTTGAAATGAAAACTCCTATGTCATTTCTTGCATCCTTATTCATAAAATTACTTGGTTATAAATAATGATTCTTCTCTGGTTGATTTTAAGACACACACACACATACAAACACACACACACACACACACACACACGCATAAATTATATAAAACATCCTATATAATAAAAAGGTTAATATGTAATTGACCAAAAGGCAGAACAACCAGTCCCTGGGATGTGCATTGACCACCAAGGGCAGGTGCTCAATGCAGGAGGTATCCCCTTGTGGTCAGTGCCCTCCCACAGGGGGAGTGCTGCTTATCTATAAGCTGGGCTCATGGCTGGCAAACGCAGCAGTGTTTGTGGGAGACTCTCCTGCCTCCGTTGTAGTGCTAAGGATGTCTGACTGCCGGCTTAGGCCCACTCCCCATGGGAAATGGGATGGGAGATGGGCCTAAGCTGTCAGTTGGACATTACTCAAGGGCTCTCGGACTGGGAGAGGGCTTAGGCCAGGCTGAGGGGAAACCCCCCACCCCCACCCCCAGTGCATGAATTTCATGAACTGGGCTTTTATATTAAGGTGTGTGTGTGTGTGTGTGTGTGTGTGTGTGTGTGTGTGTGTTTATTTTAATCCTCACCTGAGAATTGTTTCCTTTGATTTTTTCTTTTCTTTTTTAGAGAGTGGAAGGGGGAGAGAGACAGAGACAGAGACAGAGACAGACACATCAATTGGTTGCCTCTTGCATGAGCCCTGACTAAGGTCAGAAATGGGGATCTAACCTGCAACTGAGGTACATGCCCTTGACCAGAATCCAGCATGTGGTCGGGACCGGTTTGGCTCAGTGGATAGAGCATCAGCCTGTGGACTGAGAGGTCCCGGGTTCGATTCTGGTCTAGGGCATGTACCTTGGTTGTACCGGGTTCGATTCTGGTCTAGGGCATGTACCTTGGCACATCCCCAGTGGGGGGTGTGTGGGAGGCAGCTGATGATTCTCTCTCATCGATGTTTCTGGTTTTCTGTCCCTCTCTCTTCCTCTCTGTGAAAAATCAATAAAATATATTAAAAGAACAAAAACAAAAGAATCCAGCATGTGGATGCTCTATCCACTGAGAAAACTGGACAGGGCAAGTTTTTGACCACAGAAAGGAGATCTCATTTTTTAGGAGATTTCAGTGAGGAAGAGAGAGGTAGAAACATTAATGATGAGAAAGAAACATTGATTGGCTGCCACCTGCACACCCCTCACCAGGAATTGTATACTTTGACTGGGAATTGAACCATTACTCCCTGATTTATAGGTCGACACTCAATCACTGAGTAATGCTGATCTGGCAGGAATCCTCATTCTTTTTTTTTTTTTTTTTAAATTAAAAAAAATATATATTTTATTGATTTTTTTTTACGGAGAGGAAGGGAGAGAAATAGAGAGCTTAGAAACGTCAATGAGAGAGAAACATCGATCAGCTGCCTCTTGCACACCTCCTACCGGGGATGTGCCCGCAACCAAGGTAGTACATGCCCTTGACTGGAATTGAACTTGGGACCTTTCAGTCTGCAGACCGATGCTCTACCACTGAGCCAAACCGGTTTCAGCGGAATCCTCATTCTTGAAGGACGTTAATTGCTGAACTATAAATGTATTGGAAAAATGTAGAAAATAAATCTGAATTATTTCTACAAACCAATAATTGGTGTATATACAGACTATGCTTTTAGAATGAAAGTATGAATGAGAAGTTGAAAACATGTGAATCTTGATCTGGTTTTATGCTTAAAAATAGAGTAACTGTTGCCCTAGCTGGTTTTTCTCAGTGAATAGAGCACCAGTCTATGGACTAAAAGGGTCTCTGTTTCGATTCTTGTCAAAGTCACATGCCTGGATTGCGGGCTTGATCCCTAGAGGGGGCGCCCCGTGCAGAAGGCAGCTAGCTGATCAATGATTCCACCATCATTGATGTTTATATCTCTCCTCCCTCTCCCTTTCTCTCTGAAACCAATAAAAGTATATTTTTTAAAAATAGAGTAGCTGATGGTTGGAGTGTGTGTGTGTCTGTATGTGTGTGTGTATTTAAATGGCCGCTTTGAAATTTGGAACTTGAAAAAAAATTTTAAGTGTACACTTCAATGACATTAGTACATTTACATTGTTGAACAACCATAATCACTGTCAATCTCCAGAACCTTTCATTATCTAAAACTGAAGTTTATACCCATTAAATAATAACTTAACTTCCCTTCCCCTAGTTCCCAGTAATTGCTGTTCTACTTTCTCTATATACTAAGTGGAAAAGAGCAGATTTTGATGACATAATTTTTTTAAATTTCTTTTTTCTACATATGTATTAAGCTATTATAATGGAATAGAAGCAAATGAGGAAAAAATTGGTAACTCTATAGGACTTTGTGCTTTTAATTATTGAAAGATAATTTTACTGAAGCAGTAGGTTAGTAAGATTTAAATATTATATTAAATCCTTTTTTTTCCCTCATCCTACTTTACTTTGGAAAAAAACAAAACTTCCTTTCCCCCCTTTAAACTATTTACGTAGCTGTGTCACTTTATACTTATAGTCTGAAGCCAGATGGAGTTAAGTTTTCCTGTCCTTTTAATGTGGTTGGATACTTAACTCTATATTAAAAGTTATACTAACCATTTAAATAGCAAATTACAAATATTCCCTTTTAAAAGAGTCATGAGATGGTTTTCTTTTGTTTAAAAAATAAAAATAGGTGCAAAAAATTAGTCTTTTTTGTTAAATGTAATAGAATTAGGTTCTTGTGTCCATACTTTCATTTCCAAAACTAGACTGAGCTGTTTTACTAATTAAATTTCAAACCCCAGTGTTTTGATAGGTATGCAACTTCATCTTGTAGGATTTCAGTGGTCCATTAAGATCCATTCATCTTCTGTTCTTTCTGTTTTAACTATTTCTTACTTTAAATACAGTTGCTAGGAAGAAATATGTATACCTTTTATTAAGTTTGCAATTGTAGTCATCCTTTGGTGTGTTTGAGTGGGAGTCAGGTGGCAGGATATTATTCAAAGACTTGAATGAGGCCAGTTCCCTTTATGTTACATAAAATGACATTTGTAGACTCAGGGTTACATCAGATTTCTGCTGGAGGTGAAATCAATGTTAGGAGGTCACTTTGCATTTTGTTTGTTTTTTTAATCCTCACCTGAGGATATGTTTTTATTGATTTTTTTTGTTCTTGAGAGGGAAAGAAAGGGAGGAGAGAAACATCCATATGAAAGGAAAACATCCCCCAATTGGGGATCAAACCTGCAGTCCATATATGTTCCCTGACCAGGAATCAAATTCAAAACCTTTTGGTATATGGGACAACACTCCAACCAGCTGAGCCACCCAGCCAGAGATCACTTTGTGTTTTGATTGTCATTCTGATATCTCCTGAATACAACATGAGATTTGTCATTCTTTTGCAATACATGAAAAATATTTTAGGTTTTTAACTAAACATTTTTGTCCTCTGTTTTATTACTTTAACAGAAAATTGAAAATGTTAATACATTTACTATGGCTAAAAGTAATGATATAAAATTATAGCTATCATTTTAGACAGATCTTGTAAGAGCTAACTGGTTTGAGACAAAATAGGTATAAAAAATATGTTTTGCTTTTGTATGTTCACATTTTGTAAATGAAAGTATTTTTCCCTGAGAAATATTAATACTTAAAGGAACCCTAAAATATCTGTCTAACCCCTTCCTGTTTTTGTTTTTTACTATTTTATTTAAAAATATATATATATATATATTTAAAATTTGTTTTTATTGATTTTAGAGAGGAAGGAAGAGGGAGATAGAAACATCAATGATGAAAGAATCACTGATCAGCCGCCTTCTGCACACACACCCTCCCCCTCTGGGGATCGAGCCCATAATCCGGGCATGTGCCCTGGGCTGGAATCGAACCTGGGACCCTTCAGGCCGTATGCCGATGCTCTATCCATTGAGCCAAACCAGCTAGGGCTAAAAAATATTTTTATTGATTTTAGATAGAAAGGGAGATGAGAGAAACATCAATGATGAAAGAATCATTGATCAGCTGCCTCCTACACATGCCTCATACGGAAATTGAGCCTGCAACCTAGGCAATTGCCCTGACCAGAAATCAAACCGTAACTTCCTGATTCATAAGTAGACACTAACCATTGAGAAGCACTGGTGGTGTGTGTGTATTGCATGAAAAAGCTTCTTTTACATTACATGCACTATTACAGAAAAATCTGGTGGCAGTTATTTTGAGAAGGTATCTCCAATGTCTAAATAATTTTTCTGTTAACTGGTCTTATAGAATATACATCATCATACATTTTTACCATGTTTTGGAGTTACCAAATGTGTGTTCTCGTACTGTTTTTGATGAAAAAGTAAATAAGAGACTTAGATAAGTGATTTCTTCCCAAATTATATAGTTGTGAAGTATGAAAGCTTACTAGAATTTAGTCATTTACTTTTGTTCTATTTCTGTTACATGTAATTCAACCTAATATAACATATATCTGTCATCAGAGGGTGGACTATGAACCTCTGTGCCTCAGTGTTCTAATTAATATGGCTAAATCTTAATTCAATTTAAGATAAGGATAGAGGAACCTTAAGAGGTTTTATTTTTGAACTTTCATATTTGGGTTTAATTCCTATGGTGTTTGGTTTTTAGAATTTTTACAATGAGAACATTTCTAAAAATAGGGTAAAAAATATTTTAACAAACTGGCATCAGAAAAAAACTGAAGTTTGAATAAAGATTCTTTTTTTTTTTTTTTAAATATATTTTATTGATATTTCACAGAGAGGAGGAAGGGAGAGAGATAGAGAGCTAGAGACGTCGATGACAGAGAAACATCGACCAGCTGCCTCTTGCACACCCCCTACCGGGGATGTGCCCGTAACCAATGTTCATGCCCTTGACCGAAATCGAACCTGGGACCTTTCAGTCCGCAGACCGACGCTCTACCACTGAGTCAAACCGGCTTCGGCTGAATAAAGATTCTTATGTCAGATTTTGGACTACCTGTTTTATCCAAGGGATTTTCTAATGTAAATTAGGAAAGAAAATTAGGTTTTAAAAATTTTGTGGATTCTTGATGTGGATTTTTAGTGCCATTTTGTGTATCAAGACTGTCCTTGTGCAAGTTAGTTTATTGCTTCTTCCTTCTTGCCCCCTAATTATTTTTCAAATATTTCACAAGTATTTCATCCAAATATGGATAAACATAGGTAGCTTTGTTTGGTCTCTTTACACTTAATTTCATTTCCTACAATACTCACTATGTTAAATGTTATGGTTTTTCTTTGAATTTGAAGGTGTTGCCCTACTAGTGTTTGTTACTAGAATTTATTCCATCTCGTTTCTAGACCATACCTACTCACAATTAAAGCTATTATATGATGGAATTACAGGAACTGCCATTGCCCCCGTACGTAGGTTTATTCATAGGAGGGGAAAATTAGAAGTTAGAGATTTGTGGTTTCTCTCAAACGTAGTGGTTGGTTAATATTAGATTAGGGCAGTGTTTGAATATTTTATAATTTTGTATCCAAACACTTGTTTTAAGACATTCCTGATTTTCGCGTATGATTTGTGAAAATTTATGCCAAGCTTTGATTCCTGTTTATTACCTGGATTAAAAATTTAAGACATTAAGAGTCTAGTAAATCTTTAATCAGGAAATTGATAAATAGCATTATTATTTTATGTGATTATCAGATGTTATTGAATTAGTTTCCATAACATACAGGTGTAGCTTCACATTTTTTCCCTTTTTTTATGAATTCATTTAAAAGTTAGCTTTTAATTTTGGGATCTTTAGCATTCATTTTATAAATGTGTAGTAGGTTAGGAATATTAAGTATGAAGGAGGAAATGTTAATGACTTATATCTTTTTAAAAAGACAAATCTTTTGTGGAATAAAGATATAAGATAACTTTCTGAACAGTCACATTAAACAGTGTTGCCTAGTTAGACCTATCTGATGTAAAATGGTTTTGGTTTTGAGTAAAAATTGATCTATTATTTTAATGACTGCTTCCTCAGTTCTGTGTGTCTTTTTTTTTTTTTTTTTTTTAACCCAAACATATTTTATTGATCTTTTTACAACGAAAGAAACATTAGCTGCCTCGTGCACACCTTCTACTGGGGATGTGCCCCCAACCAAGGTACTTGCCCTTGACTGGAATCGAACCTGAGACTCTTCAGTCTGCAGGCTGATGCTCTATCCACTGAGCCAAACCAGTTTTGGCTGAAAATATTTTTAATGAATAGAACAATGTAAGAATAAGTAGTGTGCATGTGATAATAGAAATTTAGGAGCAGGGAATTTGTAATTTGATAGTTAAATTGTATTACTCATTCTTTGAAGATGCAACTATCAGTATCCACTAATGAACACTTTATTCTTGATTTTTTTTGTTTTTATTTATTTATTTATTTATTTTTGTTTCTCTTTTTATTTTTTATTTTTCTTTTATTAATGTATTATATGTGTACATATCTTTCCATTGCTCCCCCCCCCACTCCTATATATGCCTCCCCCCACCCCCCCGAGTTTTTCGTCCATTGGTTTTGCTTATATGCATGCATACAAGTCCTTCGGTTTATCTCTTATTTTCCCCATATCTCCCTGTTATTCTTGATTTTTTTCATTGCTTACCTAAGGATTTTTTTTTTTCCATTCATTTTTAGAATGGGGTCAAAGGAAAATGGTGAGAGACACAGAGAGAAAAACATTCATGGCAGAGAGAGAGAGAGAGAGACACACACACAGACACAGACAGACAGACAGACATTGGTTGCCTGCTGCACCCAAGTACTTTCCCTTGACTAGGAATCAAACACTCTACCCTTTGGTGTGTGGGCTGACACTAACCACTGAGAAACATGGGCCAGGGTTGTGTTTTCTTGATAATTACAGTTAATATCGATACATGCCTATTTCCTCATACAGCAAATACAAAATGGTTCATAGACCTAGTTCATAGACCTAGGATGTTTTGTTAATTTGTATATTTCTTTCTGAATGGTACTTTGGCATTGTGTATTAGTTCCTTATTGAGGGAACGGACAACAGCTTTAAGGAGGAAGGAAGGGTTACAATTTCTTATACTGGAAGTTCATTTTAACCTTAAGCATTTGATTGGCTCTTTTTGTCAATTGAATGCTTACAACATGCTCATTTGAGCTTAGAAGGAATAAAACTGTTGAAATAAGTACTGAAAATTATTATTGCTCTTTTTGTTTTTGTTTTTTTAAACAGGTATTTGTTTGCTTATGGAAAGGTTGCAAAGTATATAACACTCCTTCAACCAGTCAGAGTTGGTTACAGAGGCATATGCTGACGCACAGTGGAGACAAGCCTTTCAAGGTAAGTAAATGTAAATGCATGTGAGTTTTTTTTTTTTTAAATTTCAACATTAAGGGAGAAGATTCTTAATGGGCATACTTTTGCCCTTAAAATTTTTTTTAAAAGAACCATTTGTTTTAACATGTTATTAGATGTAATACTGGACAGATCAATGACTTGAATGCATGCATTTTTGTTCTGTTCTGTTTTTTTTTTTTTTTTTTTTTTTTTTTTTAAATCCTCATCTGAGGATATTTTTCCAATGCTTTTTAGAGAGAGTGGAAAGGAAGGAGGAAAGAGTTTGGGGAGCAAGAGAAACATCAATCAATGTAAGAGAGACACATCTATTGGTTGCTTCCCATTCTCGGATTTTGGTATTCTTGAAACTATCCTCATGATCTTTTCTTTTTGTAATTGTGATTTTGATTCTTGTTAGTCATATTAAGCTTCATCATGGCTAAGTTGTTTCAACCCAGTCTTGCTTACAAATATTTACTTAACTGAAAAAAAAAAATGTATGTAGCATGTTTAGTGATTGTTTTGATTTTCTTTTTCTTTATTTCAATGTGGCTGTTGTTTGTTTGGATAAATTTGTATGTATATGTTTGAAACTGTTTCAGATGAGCTCACTTTTCTCCCATGTTCTGATATTTCTGTTTACTTTGAACACAGTATTTATAGTTATTTAGTTGTCTTGGGTTCATTTATTTACTGTAATTTTTCTTTAGCAACTATAGCTCAACATGATGGCTTTCCTTTCATAAAACTGATGAGTAACTTCTCATTGTGATAGAGTAATTATTAAAAAAACAGCCTTTCTTTCAAGTCTGAATCGGCCAATCTTTTTAGGTATTTTGGAACTAAGAACCTAACCTAAAAGGTTGATGAAGAGTAAAGAAATTTTATCAAACCAGACTTAATCTATTATATACTCACTCTAAAGTGGCTTATAATTGGTGCATTCAAGCACATTCTGGTAATTTGTTGCCAGACTCAGTGGGTAATACTAATATTACATCATTCACTGTGATGAGTGATGAAATAATTTCTTCAGTTCCTTTATGATTTGCTCTACAGTGGTAGTGATACTACTCATGTTAAAATTTGATTTTACTTCTTTTCAGCTTTAGTGAGGTAGAATTGACAAAATTGTAAGATAGTTACAAGTACATTGTGACTTGATACGTGTATATAATTGTGGAAGGATTCCCTTCATTTACTTAATGCATCCATCACCTTACAACACACACATTGCAGAGAGATCTTTTGCTTTTCAAGACTTTCTCTATAATAATGCAAAGCTTTGAAAACCCTAATTTGTATCTGCATTTGAAGCTCCCATATTATGTAGCCTTAGCAGCCAAGTTGTGTGTATCTGCATTTGAAGCTCCCATATTACGTAGCCTTAGCAGCCAAGTTGTAGGAGGCTCCCACTCAGACAAAGATGGTGTCTATAATAATAAAAGCGTAATATGCTAATTAGAATGGATAGGTGAACCGTCTGGACTTCCTTCTGGATGAAGCCAGGGCTGCGAAGGTTAAGCCCCTTGCATGAATTTTGTGCATTGGGTCTCTAGTTGAGTATAAATAAGGATAATATAGCTGCAATGATTATCAATGATACTAAACAATAAAAAACCTCTCCTGCCGCCTGAAAAAGAATTGGTCACTGTTGGAGAATGGTAGGAATCTCATTATTTGGAAAGCCATAAGAATAGAGAGGTTCTTCTTTTTATGTGAACTGTGTCACTAGGTATACAGATCCTGGTGATTGAGTTGCACCCATGACCAATTAAGTGTGGTTCTCGGGGGTATGTTGCCAGGCATTGCTTTATTAAAAAAAAATCCTTCAGGTAATTCTGATGTGCACCCACACATAAGAAATGCTGTTCTAGCCCTAGCCGGTTTGGTTCAGCGTCGGCCTGCGGACTGAAGAGTCCCGGGTTCGATTCCGGTCAGGGGCATGTGCCTTGGTTGCAGGCACATCCCCAGTGGAAGGTGTGCAGGAGACGGCTGATCCATGTTTCTCTCTCATCAATGTTTCTTACTATCTCTCTTCCTTCCTCTCCATCCACTAAACCAAACCAGCCAGGGGTCACTCTAAATTTTTATAGATTTGTTTATGGTCCTTACTTGCTGGATGATCAAAATCAAAGAAAACAATTTTCTCTTAGAATTCTCATTATTGACTTTATTTTCAGAGCATTGAATCTTTGGTTTAATTGTTGAGTAAAATTTGTGATATATACTCTTAGTTCTATATGTACCAGGGCCTATTCTTTGCAATCTTGAAGGATCCCAGGAGAAAATGAATCTGCCAAACCTACTGGGTACCTTATAATTAAGGATAATAACAGTGGAATCATACCATAAAATCCTGATTTTAAACCTGAGGGGTTGGATCTGAACTGTTACTATCATCTCTGCCTTTTAATTATAGTCAAGTTAGCTGTTCTAAAATTTGAAAATGCAGAGCTTTTTAATCAAATTTGTTTGACTAACCAATATTAAACTGAGAACCCAGGGGCAAAGACTTATTTATGTTATACTAGAGGCCTGGTGCACGAATTCTTACATGGGTGAGGCCCCTGTGGATGGCCTGTGGGGATTGGGCCGAATCCCAGAGTCCAGTGCAACCCTCAGTCCCACGCTGCCTGCCACTCCACTCATCCCAGCCCCACTGCACCTATCGTGGGCTCCCACCCAATCTGTCCTTGTCAGGAGAGGCTCACACTGCTGTGACAGAGCTCACTAGCCTTGAGCCCTGCGTCCGGTGTCTTCCTGAGGGGAGTGGCCTGTGGGGTCGAGCTGAAACAGCTCTCTAACATTCCCTGAGAGGTCCTGATTGTGAGAGGGCACAGGCCAGGCCGAGGGACCCCACTAATGCAAGATCGGGCCAGGGAGGGACTATAGGAGGGCTCCAAGGCATGTCTGGCCCCTCTCAGTCTCGGCTAGACCTCCGTAGCAAGCTAACCTACCAGTTGAAGCATCTGCACCCTGGTGGTCAGTGCATGTCATAGAGAGCAGTTTAGTGGCCTTAGTATATCATTAGCATGTTGCACTTTGATTGGTTGAATAGTCGACCATTCACTGGAATACCAGACACTTAGCATATTAGGCTTTTATTATATAGGATTCTTTTTTTCTTTTTCTTTTTTAAATATATTTTATTGATTTTGTACAGAGAGAAAGGGAGAGAGATAGAGAGCTAGAAACGTCGATGAAAGAGAAACATCAACCAGCTGCCTCTTGCACACCCCCTATTGGGAATATGCCCGCAACCAAGGTACATGCCCTTGACCGGAATCGAACCCGGGACTCTTCAGTCCCCAAGCCGATGCTCTATCCGTTGAGCCAAACCAGTTTCAGCTATATAGGATTCTTTGAAGTATCTTAACACATTGGCTACAAAACATACTTATTTTAATGTATGTTTTTAGAATATATGTTAGGGAATATAGAGATGGTATCTACTTGGAAAGTAAGAAAAATAAGTATGGCTTACTTTGTGGCAGTACTATGTAATAGAAATATGTTTAAACAGGATAGGTCATTAAAAATGTCCAGTGCCACATTAAAATAATTGAAACAGGTTGGAATAACTTAAATATCTTTGAAATAACCCATTGCATTATTTCAATATCGTATAAGTGTACAAAATTAATGAAAAGTTTTACTTTTTATGATACAAAATCTCCCAAATTTGGTGTGTATCTTATAGCCACATTTCAAATGCTCAGTTAGCTGTATTGAATTAGAGGGCCCTGTGCACCAGATTCATGCACTGGTTGGGGGGGGGGCGTGGCCTGCGGGGATCAGCCCACTGGAAGCACCACTCATCCCAGTCAGCCAAGTGTCTGTGGACCTGCCCTCTAAGCAGTTGCTCCCTCTGTGGGAGCTCATTGACCACCAGAGGGCAGATCCTGCATTGAGTGTCTGCCCCCTGCTGGTCAATGCATGTCATAGCAACTGGTAGAATGGTCATTCTGGTTAATTCACCATTCGGTCGCTGGGCTTTTATTATATAAGATGGCTGAAATTTATTGGATAGTGCAAAATTAACCTATACTAGTAAGTGTAATTCCACTTAAAAAGCACTCTCAATTTAGATGCTAAACAGTTGGTCTATGTTTAGATATAAAATTTACAATTGCAGAGGGAGAGACACCCAAATTGTTCTAACATACTTAAAAGTTTTCAGTAGTTAAGTATTGTGTTTTAAATTAAAAATCAAAATGGTTATTAAGAAAATACAAATAAAATCCATAAAGGGCAAGAGCCGGTTTGGCTCAGTGGACAGAGCATCAGTCTGCGGACTGAAGGGTCCCAGGTTCAATTCCGGTCAAGGGCACATGTCTGGGTTGCGGGCTCCTTCCCCAGTGTGGGGTGTGCAGGAGGCAGCCAGTCAGTGATTCTCTCCCATTAATAACGTTTCTACCTGTCTTTCCCTTTCCCTTAGTCTCTAAAATCAATAATAGTAATAATAAAACAAACCATAAAGGCACTACTTCTTACTAGATGGTTTTAATAAAAGAAAAGAAAAAAATTTGTTAAGGATATAAAGTTGATGGTTATACAACATTGTTAATACACAACACTAAATTGTATTCTTTAACATAGTATGATATGTGAATTTCACCTAAATCAATAATAAAAATTAATTTAAATACAATTAAAAATTTGGTTTCTTAGTGATAGTAGCCTTATTTGGCTCCTGTAGTCGACAGGGTCATTCTATGGCAATATGGTAATTTGCAGAAGATGGAAACTTTGAAAGGCATTGTTCTTTCTTGGTCCTCAAAGAATGTGTAATCAGTTTTTACATTCTAAAAATTTAGTAACCATTGGATACTAAACTTCCCATGGTCGGAGTCTATAGATGAGCATTCTTGTTGCAGACTATCTGAGGACCACACTATTCATAGAGTCTTTGTAAGATGTAAATCCAATATTTTAAAGTATGGGATATAGTTGACTGCTTCTTTTCAGGATTCCCATAGCACCCTGTGCCTTACCCCTGATTATAGTCATTTGAAGTTACTTTATATGTATGTATTGGTGACCACATATAAGCACTTTCAGGGTAAATCTATTTCTCAGTCATCCTTACACTGACAGAATCTTACATAGTACTGGAAATAAAATAGACAATGATTTGACGTAAACCTTGAATCATTCCTCTACCTCTTAGTGAGCACCCTAGAATGGGTAAATATTTTTTTAAAATGTTTTTTTATTGATTTTTTTTACAGAGAGGAAGAGAGGAATACCTACCTAATGTATCTGACTTTGGGCAACTTATAAAATAAAATGAAAAGGTTTTATTTCCTGGAATGAGTTCTATAACTTGCTGATTTACTTCTGATAATGTACTTCTTTCCAATACAGCATCCCTGATATGCTTTTTTTATTTTCATTTAGTGTGTTGTTGGTGGCTGCAATGCCAGCTTTGCTTCTCAGGGAGGGCTAGCTCGCCACGTACCCACACACTTCAGTCAGCAGAACTCTTCAAAAGTTTCTAGCCAGCCAAAGGCCAAAGAAGAATCTCCTTCTAAAGCTGGAATGAATAAAAGAAGGAAATTAAAGAACAAAAGACGACGCTCATTGCGTAAGTGTTTCACTGAAAATCTGTGTTGTTACATTGCTTTTATTTATATCTTGTTCTCTCATGAAAAACAGATTTTACTGTTTCATCTACTTTTATTAACAGCAATATACACATAGGATAACTGTGGGACAATGTGAGACTTCAATGACAGTTTTATCTGTAGTAGCTAAGAGTGCAAATCTATTTGGCTTTAGCATACAAACTATATAGAATTATATTTTGAGGGCTACTTTTTGTTCCAAGTTAAGAAAATTTAGAACATGGTGGCAGTATTGATGTTTTTAAGAGTTTTTCTAAAAAATTGAACATGTTAAAGGTAAAGTACAAGTAAAAGTTAAGATAGGTTATACCTGCTCCAAAGTGATGTGTGTGAATAGCAAAACTATTTTTGTGTTTCAGCACTTCACAGTCTATTGTAACACACACATACAACTGTTATGTGCTTAATTTCTAGATTATGAGCTAGGTCCTGGATATTTAGGGTAGAACACAATTAGAGGACAAGACTTGTCAGTGTTGGGAGCAGGAATTGAGACCCCGGAGCCCTGCGTGGTTTAGTGTCAGCTGGCTAGCTAACTACATCTTGAATGAGGAAATATGAGTGAAGCTGTCATTGAAATGGGAGGCCACGTACTGCAAGGGTGAACTAGAAAGAAAAAATGATTGCATCTTATTTTTTCTCTTGGGATTTTTGAGTAGAGGGTAGATAAACTCCCGACACTAATCCAGACTCTAAAGCAGACAATTATCTCTAAAACACTGAACTTTTTTTTGTTACTACAAAGCTATAGTGGACAGATGAACAAACCACAAGTGAAAAATAAACCTCTTTAAACTCTTAACTTTCTTTTTTTTAAAAAAATGTTTTATTGATTTTTTTTTACAGAGAGGAAGAGAGAGGGACAGAGAATTAGAAACATCAATGAGAGAGAATCTTCGACCAGCTGCCTCTCGCATACCCCCCACCGGGGATGCGCCTACAACAAAGGTACATGCCCCTGACCAGAATCGAACCTGGGACCTTTCAGTCCGCAGGCCAACGCGTCTATCCACTGAGCCAAACCAGTTTCGGCAACTCTTAACTTTCTTATTGTTGAAATTAAACATTTTTCAAATTTCTACTGAATTTATTAGGTTATGGATCCAGTTACCTTTTGATTATGGGTCTCATCAGTTTAAAAAAAATGCTTGTGTACATAATTCTAACATATGTATTCACATCAGAAATAGCTAATTCACATCTTAAAACAGTTACTGCTGTAATACTGCTAATTCACATAATAAAACAGTTACCAAGAAGGACTATTGAAAAGTAGTGAGTTGAAAATGTTATTTTCTTCCCTTACTCTAATGGATCATGACACTCACCTACTTTGGAGACTGTTGTTGTTTTTTGTTGTTGTAAGTGCTCACCTGAGGATATTTTTTCCATTGAAAAAGTGAGAGTGGAGTAGAGAGGGTGGGGTGGGGGTAGAGAAACATAGATGTGAGAGAGACACATGGATTGGTTGCCTTCCACATGTGCCCTGACAGGCAAGGAATCAAACCTGGAACCCAGGTACATGCTCTCAACTGGGAATCAAACCTGTGACCAACACTTAACAACTGAGAACACTGGCCAGGTCAAGTTTAGTACTTTGATACTTTAATAATAGTGGACATAACTTGGTTAAAGTCTGAATAGAATAGAATCTTAAGTTTGAGAGCGCCTTATAAATTTAATTCTAGTGATATCTATGTTTGAATCTTGAATGAGGAGTGGTAGATTTGAATGATTTAGGGGAAGTTTTCTTTTTTAAACTTTATTGTTGACACTATTACAGATGTCCCCATCCCCCCGCCCACCTTCACCCATTTTTATTTTCTCTTAAGTGCTTATCTTTCCCAGGAAAAAGCTTATTTGGATAGCATGGAGAAAGTATGCTTTTTCCCCAGTATTCACAGATCTAATGGGAAGCGGGTTTGTTTCTCAGCATTAAGTAAAATCATAACCTTTCCTCTTCTAAATGTTAAATATTTTTTTCTTTTTTATTTCTCATCACTTCATTTTTAGTCGTATGGGTTCTGCTAGTTTGTAACTAGCTGGTTTTTGTTTATTTCTTTCTGAGAAAAATCCAGTGACAACAGAGATATCTAGGTTGCTTTGTGAATGCCAACTTGTAAAAAACCCCTGCTCCCCCCAAAAGCTCTAGTGGATTAGTGTTCTGACAGCTCCATGAATGGTAGAAGTAAATCCACTACACACAGTAGTAAATCAGAATAGTGTAGTAAAACAGCTACATGTAATTTAGAATATGCTGTACTTGGATATCAAGCCATTTCTTCTATTTTCGGTAAATTTTAATTTTTAATTACAGATGATCTTATAAAATTACATATATTAATTTGTAGTATTGGTGGGATGAAAATAAAACTTTTTAAAAACGTTCTTACCAAATTAAATCTTCAATGTATAAGTTTGTTGTGAACACACTAAAAGATTGCTTTATGTTATTTATAAACAAGAAATATTTACCCCAAATCCCTAAACAGTATTACCATTGTTAAAATTGGAAAAATTTTGATTACAGATTAATGTAAAATGTTTTTGAAATGCATTCTATATGTATTTGATTGTGGTGAATGAAATCGAAGTGTGTTACATAAATGGAGGTAGTCATCAGATTGTTGAAAATGCAGAGTGGTGCTAGGAGAGAGACTGGAATAAAAAACAAAATTACATGAAAAATATAGTAGCTGAAATGTGGAATCACAAGTTCTGAAGTTAGATCCTCACACACCAAGAGGCTGAATTAACTCATGTGCACTAATTAGTTGGGATTTTGCTTTTGTGACATCCTTATCTTGTCAGCTAGACTCTTGTGTTTTGAAAGCAAAGAAAATTTTGGATTTAAATACTTAATTTATACTTCTTAGTTGTTTCCGTCTTAATTATTACATATTTATGTGGAAAATGGATTAGATGGCTGTTGAGCAGACTGTTGTATTTATGAACATATTCTTTATCTCTTTTGTATTGATTTTTAGCACGACCACATGATTTCTTCGATGCACAAACACTGGATGCGATAAGACATCGAGCCATATGCTTTAACCTCTCAGCTCATATAGAAAGTTTAGGGAAGGGGCACAGTGTTGTTTTTCATAGTACTGTAAGTATTTGTTTCTGCTTTTTGTTTTTCAAATTATTTGCATAGGTTTGTGAAAATGTGTATTTTGACTTTCATAATATGTCTAAATTGCTCAAATTTTACAAAAATACATTTTAACAAGAAAAATCAAAACTTTTTGTTTTACAAACATTAAAAATTTCTTTTCCTATTATTGGTTATAAAACTTCATTGTCCACAAATTGACATCTTATTATTAGATTGACGATTTTAGCCTTTAATTTGAGCTATTTGGGCCACTAGGCAGAGTTGGTGTCTTTTTTTAATTTTAATTTAATTTATTTATTTATTTTCATTTGTAAAATTAGAACATTAGACTTACCTTTTAAGCTCACATCCCTGTATACTGCATGTCCTTCTCTCACATCCAAACACACATCTAAAGTATGTGTTGAACAGAAAATGGATAATGGCTATCAAATCAAAGCTTTGTGAAGGAAAGGGATTTTTGTTCTGTTTTGTTCCACTGATGAATTCCAACTTTCTTCATACTAGGTACTCACTATAGTCGAGGAATTATTATGTTGCTCAACATAGAAAAAGAAAACTGTCAAATTTGAAAAAGCAGTGCTCAACATATTTTTGGTTGACTAAGAGTTAATCAAGTATTCTCTCTTCCCATGCTATTTGCCATTTTATTGACCGGTCATATTTAAATTACTGTAGTATGGTGACAGTAAGTTAGTAGAAGTAAAATTTTTAGACCTGAGTCTTAGTTATTTGAATCCCTGGAAAAAGAGTTTATTTAATTTTGGCTGTTGAAATATAAAATACACTAAATTAAGGTTGTATTTTCATAGTTTAATTAAAATGCATGAGAATTTAAATACAAAATGTCAGTATTGATATCAGTGATTCCACTGGTTTGAATCTGTATTTTTCCATCTCTTATAATAAATTTCCAATTCGATTTTTATTTCTAAAATTAAAGGCAGGAAATTAAAAGATTAGACAAAAGAAATTGAAACACATGAGAGATGTGAGTTTGGGTTGAAGGAAAGGTATAGTATTCTTATACCTACTCTTTTAAAAGAACATTAGAAAAGTAGTTATATAAATAAAGATGGAAGGATTGGAAGGAAAATTAGGTTTGAAGACAAAGTTAAAGTGCTTGCACTGGGAATTTTATTGTAATTCAGCAAGATTAGGAGCTTGCTCAGCAGGGATTGTTGGCTATTCTGTGAAGTTTCATATTGTAGGTTTATTATTTGGCAGGTCTATAAATTGTTCAATAAGATGTGGTACCCACGCACATAGTGTAGCAACTGGGATAATTTATTTGCTTAAATATTGAGCACCTACTGTGTGCCACATATTATTGATGTAGCAGTGCACAAAACAGGTTAAAACAGAACAGTAAACCATGCATGCCAATATTCTAGTGGAAGAGACAGCATAAACTAATAAGTTAGTAAAAATGTAAGACTTTAAAGAAAGTGATGGTATGGGCTATTTAGTTAGATTCTGGATATCTTTTGGAAGTAGTACTGATAAGAATTATGGATGGATCACATGCCAGATGTGATAAAGAAAGGAAAGGTTGACTTCAGATTTTTTTTTTTTTGCCTGGACAGCTGGCCAAAGGATGGAATTGCCATTTAAAACAGAGGCTGTAGTGGTGAGTGGATCAGGGAGAGAGAGGGGAATATTAAGAGCTCTAATTTCAGCACTTTCTGTAAAGTCATGTAATGGCCTGTGTCACTGTGTAGGGAGATGGACACATATTTAAACTTAAGAGGATAGAAATGGCTACAAATTAAAATAAGGAAGTCTTCAGCATAATTAGTGATATTTAAAGTTATCAAACTGGATGAGATTGCTAGGAACTCTTTAAGTATAAATAGAAAAGAGAAGAAATTTAGCCGAAACCGGTTTGGCTCAGTGGATAGAGCATCAGCCTGCAGACTCAAAGGTCCCGGGTTCGATTCCGGTCAAGGGCATGTACCTTGGTTGTGGGCACATCCCTGGTAGGGAGTGTGCAAGAGGCAGCTGATCGATGATTCTCTCTCATTGATGTTTCTAACTCTCTATCCCTCTCTCTTCCTCTCTGTAAAATCAATAAAATATATTTAAAAAAATAAATTTAAGGACCGACGTTTGGGGCTCATTAACATTTAATAAACAATAAAGCCGATGAAATAATGGTCTAATAATGAGCAAGTGTTTCTGCATATTAGGGAATAGGGAGTGGTATAGAAGGTTGTATTTTAATAAGTGAAGCTCCCAATTTTTACTTGCTTTTATTAGAGCAGCTCCTGTGATAAAATCCTTACATTTACTGTGGAGAAATTGAGATGGTCAAAAATGAAAAAAATAAAGGAGCTAAAAATAGTGGTGATAATATAAGGAGTTTGGAAGAAATTTAAAAATTTACTGACAGTCAAAATAGTCTGTGACCTTGAAAAGAAGTTTTCTAGCTGTAGAAAACACCTGAGAGGTTTTAAGAACATGAAACATGTTTGTCATAAATTTAAGAAATAGTAATAAGAGTGACTTACTACCCCCAAGTGACACTGTGGAGGTATTTTAAGTTTCCTAGTTTTAAATTAACTTTTATAGGAAAAATCATACTGATAATGAAACCATTTGTAGGAAAATGTATCTATGAAGCTCTATGCTGTACAGTTTACCTAATTTGTCTTCTTTAATTGAAACATTTTCTTTCGAGCCTTCTCCAGAAGAGGTCAGCAGATTTCTACAGTCAGCTTGCTGTGCTTTCTTGGTTTGCATTGTTTTCATATCTTTTTTTTTTTTTTTGTCGAGGTATTTCAGCTCTGTCTTTTGTGCTTTTTAATTAATCTCATTGTCAAGTCTAGAATTGGGTTATTGACTATAGGTTTCTCAGACTGGAGATTAGAAAGCATTTCATTTTTGCATAGAGTGCTATTCTTAACTTAGTTCTAATATGTTTTGAGGATGACATAATTTTGTGTGGCTGTTTAGATTTTAAACTTGGTAAAAATATTGAGATTTAGATTATTAAAACACTAACGTGCTAATTTTGTTAATATGGAAATTGTAAGTTACAAAATACCACCTTGATCCATTTCTATTTAATTTAAGTATTACCTTCATTTTCAGAATCTGGTAATGAATGGCAAGTATGTTGTTTTTCTTACCCTTCTATAGGACTTTTTGTTCAGGTTGATTTACCTTTTATATGGATTCCTTAAGATTGAACCTAAATACTGTGGCTGATGTTCATTTAAAATAAAACCAACCAACCAGGCAAACAAAAAATATCTCTGTTGTAAATTATAGACTTTTTCCTTTCCTAGAAGTATTTTTTCTTTACTGTTTGTTCTTTAAAAATATTCTAACTAGCCTAGACCGGTTTCGCTCAATGGATAGAGCGTCGGCTTGGGGACTGAAGGGACCCGGGTTCGATTCCGGTCAAGGGCATGTACCTTAGTTGCGGGCATATCCCCAGTAGGTGGTGTGCAAGAGGTAGCTGATCGATGACTCTCTCTCATCGATGTTTCTAACTCTCTATCTCTCTCATTTCATCTCTGTACAAAATCAATTAAAAAAATATTAAAAAATATATTCTAACCAGCCGAAACCAGTTTGGCTCAGCGGTAGAGCGTTGGTCTGTGGACTGAGAGGTCCCAGGTTCGATTCCGGTCAAGGGCATGTACTTTGGTTGCAGGCACATCCCTGGTGGGGGGTGTGCAGGAGGCAGCTGGTCAGTGTTTCTCTCTCATCAACATTTCTAGCTCGCTCGCTCTCCCTTCCTCTCTGTAAAAAAATCAATAAAATATATTTTAAAAAAATATTCTAACTGATGTAGAACCTTGGTAGCATTCTAGCTAAGCCACAGACTTAGTAAATAGCATTTTCAGTCCCTTAATAAAGATAGTATGTTTTTCTTTTTAAATCTAGTTTTATTGATTTCAGAAAGGAAGGGAGAGGGAGAGAGATAGAAACATCAGTGATGAGAGAGAATCATTGATCGGCTGCCTCCTGCTGTCCCTTGCTCGAGATTCCTGTGCCCTGACCAGGAATCAAACTGTAATCTCCTGGTTCATAGGTTGATGCTCAACCACTGAGCCACACTGGCTGGGCTGGTTTTTCTATTTGGCTATACAAACCTTGTCTTCAGATCCTTTTTTCTCTTTCTTTTGAAAAAGTACATAATCAGAGGTAAAATTGGGGGAAAAAACAAGGCAGAACAAGATATGGTGGTGGTGATATATAGTTCAGGATACAACACTTAAAAGTTCTTAATTAGAACTTACTTAGTTCAACATTAAAAGTGCTTTTAATGATACTAGAAAAATGTGTTACAAATCACTTTTATGATTTCTTATTATTAGGTAATAGCTAAGAGAAAAGAGGATTCTGGAAAGATAAAACTTTTGCTTCATTGGATGCCTGAAGATATGTAAGTATTTGGAATATTATGTGTAATTTATAGACTAATGTCTTTCATTAAATCTTAGAATCAGAGGTATGGAAGGGGAGTGGACTGAAGCTTCTACGGGAAAAGGGGTGTGGGGGGTGTGGGAAGAGACTGAACAAAAACTTTGCACCTGTGGATGAGGACAATGGGGGGTGGGAAAAGGGCAGAGGGTGAGGTGGGAACCTGGTGGAGTGGAGCAATGGAGGAAAAAAGAAAAAAAAAAAAATCTTATACTCGCTTGGTTGGTGTAGCTCAATGGTTGAGCGTTAACCTATGAACCAGGAGATCATGGTTCGATTCCTGGTCCAGATACATGCCCAGAGTGTGGGCTCAATCCCCACTGTGGGTGTGCAAGAGGCAGCCCATTGATGATTCTCTCTAATCATTGATGTTTCTATCTCTCTCTCCCTCTCCCTCTTCCTCTTTGAACTCATAAAAATATATTTAAAAAAATCTTATACTCAAAAATTACTTAATATTCAATTCAAATGTAGCAGAATTATAGAAAATAAACTATGAAATATTTTGAGGTCAGGATTAAAGAGATAATCTGTGAAATATTTTTAATTGGATGTAGTCATTTTTAGAATTTTCAGTGACTCTCAAGTAGTATGCAAGCAGCCTTAGTTGGCCCTTTGTTTGAATAATTTATTTAAAAAAAAAATTCTTCCCAAAATCGGTTTGGTTCAATGGATAGAGCATCTGCCTGTGGACTGAAGGGTCCCAGGTTTGATTCCGGTCAAGGGCATGTACCTTGGTTGTGGGCACATCCCCAGTAGGGGGTGTGCAGGAGGCAGCTGATCGATGTTGCTCTCTATGAGTGTTGTGTGTATGTTTTAGTTTTTGCTTAATCTCTTTACCTTTTTCAACCAGCCTGGCAACCCACCTCCTGACAGCTGTCAGTCTGTTCCCTAATGAGTCTGTTTCTGTTTTGTTTGTTAATTTGTTAATTAGATTCCACATGAGTGAAATCATATGATACTTGCCTTTCTCTGACTGGTGTAAGACATTGTTAAATGGTCCTGAAGCCCAGCTGGTGTGGCTCAGTGGATTGAGTGGTGTCTTGTGCACCAAGAGGTCACCAGTTCAATTCCTGGTCGGGGCATATGTCTGGGGTTCAGGCTTGATCACTAGTATACATGTAGGAAGCAGCCAGTCTATTGTTGTTTCTCTCCCACTTCCTTTATCTCTATCTAAAAATCAATAAAAATTTATTAAAAAAATAAATCCATGGCCCTGTAAAATGTATTTAATGAGCTGTGTTTTTGCTGAACATTGAAGTTACCCATTTTTCTTTACTGTTAAATAAAAGATATTCTAAAGTCTACTAATATACAAACTATGCAAAATGTTAGTTTTTGCTAACTATTGTTCTCCTGAGTTTTTAGCAATTTCTAATCCCATCTACTACATTAGAAAATGTTTTTCTCTTTATTATCAACACTGACTATTACATTTCTACATTTTGCATTTCTTTGATTATAAGCAAAATCATTTTTATTTGTTCTTTGTTAATTCTCATCTGAGAATATTTCCCCACTGATTTTTAGAAAGAGGAGAAGGAAGGAGGAGAGACAGAGAAACATTGATGTGAGAGAGACACATCAATTGGTTGCCTCCTGCACTAGGGCTGGGGCGCCAGTCTGCAACTGAGGTTCTTGACTAGAATCAAACCCAGGACCCTCAGCTAGAGCACTAAGATCATTTTTAAACCGTTTGTATCTCTGTAGTAAATTGATGGTTAGTGTGCTTTCTCTACCCTGTCCCTCGATCCCTAAGGAATGTTCACCTCTTTCATACTAATATGTAAGAGCTATTTTTATATATTAAGGTCATAAATATACAGGGTAGGGCAAAAGTTAGTTTATATTATATTATTTTTCACATGAACAACTATAAACCTGCTTTTGCCAACCCTATTTAAATGTCTGTATTCTCAGTTATGGAAATTGATCAATCCAAATACCAAAATGCTTCCATTTGAATTTTCTTATAGGATTACATTTCTTTGATTTTTGAATTTTTTAAAAAGTGGAATTTGGTGGGTTTTTTTTTACTAATTATTTCTTCATGGAGAAACTCAGTGTCAAACTTCCATCATGTCAAGCTCAAATGTGAATTTCACTCAGCAAGCTAAAGGACAGGCAGTGTATTCTAAGTTTGATATGACGTGGCCGTCAAAAATTCCTAATGCATCCCAAATTTGGGCCTAAAATTTCACCTTGCTATTTCTCTTCATCTCACTACCTAGATTGTTGAGTTCACTTGGCTTATGAGAAGCTTGTTAACCTAGGCAGCCCTGTCAAACTAGCAGAAATGGCTGGGTATATATGAAGGTAAATGAGGGGTAAATTTACAATTAATGTTATTTTATGTATGGCTTGTTTTTTAATTTATAGTCTGCCTGACGTGTGGGTGAATGAAAGTGAGCGACATCAATTGAAAACTAAAGTAGTTCATTTATCAAAGCTACCCAAAGATACTGCCTTGCTTTTGGACCCAAACATATACAGGTAATTTAATTGTTGATTTAATGTTACTTTCTGAATTATAATTTTTAAATCTTCCTAATTATTGGATGTAAGGTTAGGATTTATTTTTTAAGTACTGAATTCAGTACCAAGCATAATCTTGTTTTCTCTAGTTTTCTATATGGCAGTTACGTCACAAAGATTTATAAATTACAGTATTGAGAAAGATAATATAGTACTGTTTGTTTTTAAGAGATAGCTCCCAGTGTTTACATTTCTAATAATTTTCTGATTTGACCTTTGTTTTAGTGTGCCGTGCTTATGAAATATGGGGTGGGTTAGAGGTGAGGAAGAGACCCAACATTTCTGGCTATGTGCTGAGTCATTTTGCTAAGTGTTTTACATATACTTTACTCACAAAGCAGCCCTTTGAAATAGGTGTCACTGTCTCTGTTTTACAGATTAGAAAGCTGAAGCGCGAGGTTAAATACCTTGCCCAAGGTTACACAGATATTATGTGACTGAATTCAAAACTGCCTCTCCCCGAATGACATACACTCGGGTAATTTCAAAAGTGGTGAGCCCTAGCCGGGTTTGGCTCAGTGGACAGAGCATTGGCCTGTGGACTGAAAGGTCCTCGGTTCGATTCTGGTCAAGGGCATATGCCAAGGTTGTGGACTCAGTCCCCAATGGGGCATGCAGGAGAGAGCCATTCAGTGATTTTCATCATTGATGTTTCTTTTCTTTTTTTCTTTCTTCTTCCTTCTTCTTTTTTTTTTTTTTTTTTTAATATATATTTTATTGATTTTGTTACAGAGAGGAAAGGAGAGAGAGAGAGAGTTAGAGATAGAGAATTAGTCATCGATCAGCTGCCTCTTGCCCACCCCCTACTGGGGATATGCCTGCAACCAAGGTACATGCCCTTGACTGGAATCGAACCCGGGTCCCTTCAGTCCCCAAGCCGACGCTCTATCCATTGAGCCAAACCAGTTTCGGCTCATCATTGATGTTTCTATCTCTCCTTTCCTCTCCCTTTCTCTTAGAAATCAAAATATATTTTTAAAAAAGTGATGAAAATGCTTTATAGTCACTCTTTTAAAAATATATTTTTAATTGATTTCAGAGAGGTAGAAGGAGAAAGATAGAAACCAGTAATGAGAGAGAATGATTAATCAGCTGCCTCCTGAATGTGTGTACACACACACACACACACACACACACACACACACACACACACACTCTGGAGATTGAGCCTGTAACTCCAGTATGGGAATCGAACCATGATGTCCTGGCATAAGTTGATGCTCAATCACTGAGCCACACTGACTTGGCTAAAGGCACTTTTAATGAATAAAATTTCTATTTTTTAAAATAAATTTTAATTTAACAAGTATTTTACAATAGGAATATATTGGATAAGAATAAGAGGACATAAAAATTTGGAATAATCCCAAATTTTTAGCTATCAGAAGGAGTCTGTGCCAGATTTTAAAGTAATTAACACTTTGAAGGTTTGGTTCATTCCCTGACAATGCTTTTTGGAATGTTAGTCAATGCAATAGGATTTCTATAATTTGAGACATCTTGTGAGAATCAAATTCCAACATAATGGGCCTTGCCATGTGGAAACACTGAGACTCGGTTTTTCCTACTCCAAAAATAAATTTTAAAATATCTTTTGATGAAAGTGCTAAGTTCAGTAAAACCTTGTTTTTGTGGACCAATCTGGGTTGTCAAGAAATTAAGTGGTATAAAGAAAAATGAAATATCGCAAGGAAGAAGATTGAGGTAAATCCACCACCGAAAATACAGAAAAGTCACTATCTATACTAATAATCCTATATAATAAAGAGGTAATATGCAAATTGACCCTCACACACTTGCACAAGATGGCTTCTCCCATGTGGTCTGCCACAAGATGGCTTCTCCCAAGATGGCTGCCACAAGATGCCAGCAGGGGAGGGTAGTTGTGGGCAATCAGGCCAGCAGGGGAGGTCAGTTAGGGGTGACCAGGCCACCAAGGGAGGGGAACAGTTATAGGGGGGAGAGGGAGGTCAGGCCAGCAGGAGGATCAGTGAGGGGCGACTAGGCAGTGGGGACAATAGGGGAGACCAGGCTGGCAGATGGGGGCAGTGAGGGGAGACCAGGTCAGCAGAAGGGAGCAGTAAGGGTTGACCAGGCCAGTTGGGGCAACCATGCCGGTGTGGAGGCGGGGAGTTGGGAGTGACAACATCGGCAGGCAGGGGCTTTTGCGGGTGGCCAGGGTGGCACTTAAGGGTAATCATCCCAGCAGGCAGAGAGAGGTGATCGGCGGGGGGGGGGGGGGGGGGGGGACAGGGACCGAGCGGCAGTTAGGGGCAGGCAGGCAGGCAGGCAGGTGAGTGGTTAGGAGCCAGCTATCCCGGACTGTGAAAGGGATGTTTGACTGACTGCTGGTTTAGGCCCGATCCTAAACCAGGAGTCGGATATCTTCCGAGGGGTCCCAGATTGGAGAGGGTGCAGGCTGGGCTGAGGGGACTCCCATTCCCCCATGCCCCACCCCCACTCCCAGCACGAATTTCATGCACTGGGCCTCTAGTTTAAGAAATAATTCAGTATTGTTATTTCTGCTTACTTTTTGAAGGGAGTAATTAAAATTAGCATTCTAAAAGAGTCATATTTTTGGAGAGCCACCCTGCTATTACAACTGGTTGTAAACTCTCTTAGGCAGAGTGTTGACAAAAGGGCAGGAATCTTAATTATATGATAAAGAATAACTTCAGTGTTTCTGTCCCGCCTTCTACTTCCCCCTCTCTAAGGGTCTCCTCTCTCAGAACCAGCTTTCCCCACCCCCATTCTTGTGCACTATAGGAAGCAATTTAGATATTATAGTGAAAATGACTTAAAAAAATCATTCACACTCAGAACCAATGATGTTATAAGTGCATAGGAATTGCATATTCTCGTTGTAATCCTATAGTACTTACTGATTTCATTTTTAAACTACCTTAATCTTAATATTTAATTTTGAGTCTGAACTGTCATACTCCTGCTATTTTGAAAGTTAGAATTGTTTACCCTAAAGTGGTTCGGAGTAATAAATTTATTGTGTGTAGCATTAACAGTGTTTTGGATTTTGGTATGGAAAACTTGTGAAATTAAGTAAAAGGGGGAAAAACAGTTATTCTAACTAGATTTATGAGAAATAATTTGTTTATGCACATTTCAAAATGAAAGCATATCAAACCTTCTAAAAATATCTTAAAGACTAAAAGGAACCTGTTTGAGATTTTAAACATTAGTTTCCATAGTACTAGTTGGTTAAAATGTATGTGTTAGACATGAGATCTTTTTTTTTAGAAATAACACTAGCAGGCTACATAAAAAGGATTAATTAAAAGGCTATAGACTATGTAACTAAATTTGCATTCATTATGTATGAATGCTTTGGAAGTAAATTTTAATGATGATCAATGATCATCACATTGCCTATATTTTATAAGTATTTTTAATGTCTCTTGAATTACTTAATGTGTTTTTGATATAGTTGAATAAAAGAATATTCCTTTTTTCTCTTTCTAGAACAATGCCGCAGAAGAGGTTGAAGAGGTAAAAAACAAATAAATACATAAAAAGCAAACAAGCAGGGACACCTGCAGTCTTAGTCACTGACAATGGGTTTAGTAAAAGTTGCACATTAGACTCAACCCCCTTCCTCTTTTTTAATCCAATATTTAGAATAATATTTATGCTTAGTGTAAACATTCTGTGAATGAAGTAGGCTCTTCTGTGGAATATATTAATATATTACTGTATGTCCACATTTTCATGGAATGGTACTGTGGGAGACTGAGCAAACACTCTTTTGGCAACTTAGTGGAACAGCTTCTTAAAGGCTTTGCATGCTTGCTGCTTTAAGCTGCTTTTTTCCCCCCTTTAGTGATTGCAGTAGTTTATATTGGAAAGAAAAACAGTTCCAGTGTGTGCTCATACAAATACCAAAAGCACTGTAAGGATATTTATATCTTGACAGTGTCTATTGATTTGAAGTCATATTAGGACATAATAGTCAATGCAAATTATCAATTATAAATAGATGTGATTGGTTGCCATTTGTGTTCTTTTGCAGAACTCTGATAAGAAAAGTGTTCAATTTGTATTTAAGCAAACAGTGAACGACATTTGCAATCAACTAAATATTCGTCTTTCGAATTAGGGCTGCACATTTCTGTTAAAGAGTGTTGCCGTATGTCTGGTGGCTCCCTTTTCAGGACTAGGGTTTTCTCATGGAGTACAGTATGTTAATATTTACCTATATAACTAATCTGTTAACGGTTTTTGAAAAACCTTTATTTCAAATATTTTAATAATCCTTTATTTTCATTTTAACCTACATAAACCTCTAATTTTTTTTTTTCTGAGGAAAGCATTTGGTTAGTTTTTTCTTAACATAAGAAAAATTGTATTTTTTTTAAGTGTTGTCAAACTGAATCCTTTATACACCAAAGTTGGTTTTGAAAAAGAGAATAAAATCACTTTCTTGCTTGTTTAAGCAAGAAGCCATATGGATTTTTTTTTAACTTACAGAAATGGAAATATGTGTAACTTGTTAGTATTGTATCAAACAAATGTTGCATAGAGATAATAGAACATTGCTTGTAAATAATTCAGCAGATTTGTAATATATTTTTATATTATGAAATGTACTGTAGATGTTTTTCTAGAGGCATGAAAGTTAAATGTATATATTATGGGTAGAAATAATATTGAAGGATATTGTAATTCACTAGTGCTGCCAGAGGAATTGTTAATAAAGCACCTTCTTTAACAATAAATGTCTTTTGCAGACTTAAAGGGACTATGTACTACTGTTAATATCTTTAAGAACAAAACACATTGAACATCCTTCCAGAAAGTCTTTGAGGGAGGACCTATACCCATAATAGAATTATGGCACTCATTTCTGACAGTGACTGTGAAATCAATCATTTCCTTACTGTTGGAAGGACATATTGTAAAGTATGTGGTTATATGCAGTCAAACTGCAGAAAATACTTCTGATTGAGGAGTTTTCACTTTACTACAATGATATAAAAACCAGCAGTTTTTACACTAAATTTTTAAAGAATAGACAAAAATATAGAACTAAGCCTTTGGTTCCAAAATGGGAAAGTTTCATGATACATAAGTCATATCTCCTTTACTTTAAAATATTTTAAAATAAAAGTTATGGGGACTTTATTCGCAAACAATGGGGTAAAGAGCTATATACATGAAATGAGTCATATAAAATGAAATGAAGTGCAAATAAAAGCACTGGTACTATAAGACATTCTGGAATGGTTGTTTAATAAGGGTATATCCATATGATCTGTAGCAAATGTGATTTTATTTTTAAAAAGAAAAGAAAAGCAGTGTGTTTTCTTACCGTTTTTTGTTTCTTTGCTTAAGCACTTCATTAATTGCTTTATTCTGTATCTGGAAGTAATCTGCAATCTTCGTTGTTCTTTTAAAATTTTGGTTTGTTAAAAAATTGCCAAATAGAAGTGTTTCAGATATATAGTTTGTACCTGTATGTTTTATTTTATTGCCTCATGTTCTTGTAAGTCATTCTTAATTGACCAATGATTGTAGACCTTGCTGAGTATTTTTTCTAATAAAACAAAAGCAAATCACATTTAGCTTCAAAATTGTAATAATTCAATTAAATTTTAAAACTTCTACAATATACATCTAATATTTTCTTTAGGGATCCAGTAAATCAAAGTTTTTCATTTTATGGAAATTCAAAACCATATTTCATGGTTATTGATTAGCCTCCAAGTACTCACTCATGGTACTTTGTTGTTTATCTAAGTTTAGTCTGATTCTATTAACACACCAAAACATATGGAATGAAAATGAATTAAAGTGTATTTAATTTGTATGTAAACATTATTACCATCAATTGTGATTGGCAAGTAAATGTGAACATTTTTTTTTTAATCCTCACCTAAGGATATACTTTTATTTATTTTTAATTTTTTAAATTTTTTTAAAATTTAGTTATGCTATCATATAATTGTCCTCATCACTCTATTCCCATCGAAAACCCTTCCCCATGTATGCCCCCACTCTCCTGTTGTCCATGACCACTGGTTAGGCTTATACAAGTCCTTTGGTTGATCTTTTCCCTTGAGGATATGCTTTTACTGATGTTTAGAGAGTGAGGAAGGGGGGAAGGGAGTGAGAGAGAGAGAGAAACATCCATGAATCAAGCCCACAACCTTTTTGGTGCATGGGATGACACTCCAACCAACTGAGCCACGTGACTAGAGCCTACTTCTGAACATTTTAATTTTTGTTAATGACATCTATCTATATTGTTCTTCTTAACTTCCATATATGATACTATCTAATAAAAGAGTAATATGCAAATTGGCCATCACTCCAATACAAGAAGACTGACACAAGATGTGGACAGAAGATGGCTGCCACAAGATGGCTAGCAGGGGAGGGCAGTTGAGAGGGACAGGCCTGCAAATTAGGGCAGTTGGGGACGATCAAGCCTGCAAGGGAAGGCAGTTGGGGGTGACCAGGCAGGCAGAGGAGGGAAATTGGGGGCGACTGGGCCTGCAAGGAAGGACAGTTGTGGGGGGACCCAGGCCTACAGAGGAGGGCAGTTAGGGGTGACCAGACCTGCAGAGGTGTGGCAGTTGGGGATGACCAAACCTGCAGGGAAAGGCATTTAGGGGCAAACAGGCTGGCGGGGAGCAGTTAGGAATCAATCAGGCTGGTAGGGAGTGGCTAGGGGGTGATCAGGCTGGCAGGCAAATGTGGTTAGGGGCATTCAGAAGGGCAGGCAGGCGAGCAGTCCTGGATTATGAGAGTGATGTCCAACTGCCCGTTGGATCGAGCCTAAACGGGCAGTCAGACATCCTTTGAGGGGTCCCAGATTGGAGAGGGTGCATGCTGGGCTAAGGGACACCCCCCCCCCCCCCCGCCCCCCGCATGAATTTTGTGCACTGGCCTTGAGTATTTATAATTTGGTACCTGAAATATAATTAGTCTTATTCAAAATCCATTATTTAGCCCAGAGTGGTCAAACTGCAGTCACAGGCACACCCATTCATTAATGAGGTGTCTGCCACTTGCTTTCCTGTAGTGGCAGCCTTGAGCAATGAGACTGTCTGGCCTGCAGACCTAAAATATTTACTCTCTGACCTTTTAAGGAAAAACTGCCAGTTCCTGGTTCAGATGATAAAAATTTTGGAAAAATAAACCTAGTCCACAGAGCCTATATTTTAATATACTAATAGTTTTAATCTTGGTAAAACGAACCAGTACATTACATTTCAGTGAAAGCTGCTTAGTATACTTTAAAAGTGGCCATTTTAGGTAATTGCAACAAATGGTATATTTTGCTTTTTTTGGTATTTTGTTTATACTTTCACATTGGATTTCTCAATAGTTATTAATATTTCACCTTTGTTTTTGTGTATTTTGTTTTACTAAGTAGGACTAAAGGAAATTTTAGGTCTTGTTTAAACCACAAGGCACATAATGCTCTATCTGAAAGAATCTTGGAAGTGGAAAATACTGTAAAATTTAAAATTGTTTATTTTTAAAAAATAAACTTTATATATATATCGTACCTAAAGTGGACACACATTGCTTCTTGAGTTTCAGATGAAGGAAATTAAGATGGGGAGTGATGAACTCTAAATGTGTATTTTAAGATTTAGTTTATTCTCTTTGAAAGTGATGATAATCATATCAGTAAAGTGCTATCTGTAAGATTATTTTTTTCATTTACACTTGAATACTTTAAATACTTTTAAAAGGATATAAATTGCAACAATTAAGTCATCTTTTATTGTTTGCTATTTGAAATTTTAATATAGTTAACAAAAGCTAGGTACTTGAATAAAATATAAAAATGAGAAAATATGGTCAAAAGTCTTTAAACAGTTCTCTAAAAGGCAAACAAATTCTTATATTGTGAAACTGATATGCTTATCTGTATAACAAAGCCTAGGGTTTTGAAGACAAGTACATTTTGGGGGATTTCAAGGAAAAATATTTTTATTTTCTAAATGTGCAGAAAATAAAAGGACCAATTTTTGTAAAAAACAAATTATGTAACATTTTTGAATCCTTGTTTAGAAATTGTTATTATTATTTTTTTTTTTTATTGACTTCAGAGAGGAAGGGAGGAGAGAGAGGTAGAAACATCCATAATGAAAAGAAGCTCATAGATCACCTGGGCGGCATGGGAATTTAACCGAGACCTCCTGGTTCAGTGCTAAACTATTGAGTCACACTGGTTGGGCTGAAAGAATCTTAATTAGAGACAAGGAAATTTTAACCACATTTTGCTCATCTTTTTTCTTGTCTGATTCCAAACAATTTCCACTTAATGCAATTTTTATAGCCTTCTAATTTATGACAAACAACAAGGCAAATATACAAAACCATTTGAAGTATCTTATCCTCATTTATTTCTTCTCTAATGCTCTGTAATGAGAAAGGGGCCACATCCTAAACTTAACAAGCTTAGGTCCTGCATACTCAGAAACAAAAAATAGCCACAGAGGATAGTCTGAATGCAGAACTTCCTAACCAAAAGTGAGTCATCCTGAGTCATCCTAGGGCTCTAGTTTCCTTGACAAAAGGTCATTTACCTTAAGTGATCCTGTCTATTGTCCTTTTTCATCTAAAATAACATCCCCTTGCAATGTCAGAGTAAACCCCTTTTTCGGGACCCCCACCAGGACAGGAGACCACAGAACCCCTCATTGTTAGCTTGTTCCCCACGTACCATCTCTGAGTTCTATAAATGTTAATTATCCTACACTCACAAATCTAAAAGAATTGTCTCTTTTACTTTATATCTAATTCCAGAGATTTTGCTGTTTTATTTTCTTCTGCTTCCCTAATCTACCCGCAATAGATTTCATGTAACCCCCTGACGTCTCCTCTTTTGATTCTGAAGTATAAAGTTGTAAAACTTCTATTCTTTGGAGCATTTTCTCAATCCGTTGAAATTTTGCTTCCCAGCAAATGTCATCTTGACTGAAATGAAATCAAAGCTCTACAGATTTGGACGTTTCTTACACTGACCTATGTATCTTTTCCTTCTCTCTGAAATTATATTTCTTGCAAGGCAGATCTGGCAACAAATTCTCCCAGTTTT